TCATCATATTTTAGTTCATTATGAGAATTTAATAATATAACCGACACAAACCAACATGTGAGAGCATGGAGTCTGATTTAGGTCCGATCAACTAAGTCATTTTATATACCTTATCGGGTGCGAGACATACATACATACATATCATGTGGATTCCTAACTAGCTCTTACCAGGGACAGAATAAAGAGTAGCCCAAACTAACGATACAGTCCTTAACCTACGTCGACAAACATAGTTTCAGATATCCGTTGCTTAGACTCATGCCCTCTCGGTTAGCCATTTAACTCCCTTAGCATATGTGTTCATCAATTAGCCTGATGGCTCATGCATGTTCATAAATTTTAAGGATCATAATCCATAACTTGAGTGCATACCATCACATCATATAAGATTTACAATTCAAGTATCATAACTTGCATTCACGAAAAGCATATATCATATCATAGTTCATAGTCAAAAAAACATGTTGTGGTATCATAAAATTTACATTTGAAGTGATTGCATAGTTCATAATCATAAAAGATCATCAAGAAATGATGGGATAAGGCACAAGTACCTCTTCGACTATTACCGAAATCTCAGAGACACACCTTAACTAAACTAAGGTTGTCCTATTACCTCCCGAACTCATTTTTTTTGTAATATTTAAAATCTTTTTGGCTTATGTGGCATCCAAACATCTCCCACACGCCTCAACTACGTGGAGTGCCACGTAAGTCAAAAGGTGTACAAACCATGGTGATCAAGAAGTTCACCCAGACAGTGTCCCTGTAGAGATAAAAACCAACAAGTCATCAACCTGTTTGTTGATCTCAATTGGGAAGCCACTTCTAAGGCCAAGTATGATTAGTAGTAAGAATGAAAAAAACTCATCAACAGGCAAAAAGCAAAAAATGAGAGGAAAGCTCTTTGCATTCTAGAACCAATACCAATGAGACTAACAATGATAAGTCGGACAAGGAGAAAGAAGAAATCAGTGATATAGGATCAAGCAGAACAGAGAATATATATATATACTAGCAAAATGATCCTGTCAAAACTACATATCAAAACTAAGCAATGTCTAACTCCAAGGAAACCGTCAGCATTAACCAAGTTATGCATGTGTGTTACCATTGTGTTAATATGAGCAAGATAAATGGTTACACAAGATTCAAACTTGGATATCATACTCAAATTCTAGTAGACAATGAATATCATGTCACTCTCAATCTGAAATACCACATTAATACTGATAAAGGTACTCACATTACTTTTATTCTCTACTGTAGAAATAAAATCTCGTACACAAAATATGAACAATAATATTGATGCCCTTTGGTGTGTATACGTAAGAGGAGATGTTAATGTCATATGGATTTTGTTACTGAATTCTTCAAAAGAAAGGACCTTACTAAGTTCTATACTCACACATGTCTAAGTAGATTCTGTTATTTGGTTTAAATCTGTATTCAATAAAATATGAACAGTAAACACTATTAAAGAAATAATAATAGTACAACAATATGAAAAATGAAAAATCGAGCTCACGGAAGGACGAACTTTACGAAACATTACAAGTTCAGGTATCAATTCATTTTAGGTATTAATTTGCATTCATATATTGCAGAATACTTAGCTGCTATACAATTACCAATATGCTAAGCAAATACCAAACTGTGCTAAGTGCTTTTTCTCTTTTGACAATCACACCCACTGATGTTAAAAGTTTCCTAAAGTTTTATATTTATAGTACTAAGTTTATTATAGACCTTGACTCAAATGATTATCATGTGTAGGGCAGGCCACAACAGTTTATGAGTTCTGAATCACAATTTTTATTTATTTATGGGTAAAGGGTCAAATATGCTCCTAAACTATTCGAAAAGGTTTAGATATATCCTCCGTTTAAAGTTTGGCTCACTCATGTCCTAGCCGTCCAACTTTTGGTCTAAATATGCCCTTATGGACGTTAGTTGGCCTGCTGGACATATCCAGCTCATTTTTCATTTCTTTAAATGCCACATGGAATTGTCATGTCATTTTGACTTTACCACAAGACATTTATATGAAAATTGAAAGGGATCAATTATTCCCCTAAAAAATTCGAGCCCATAAACACCTAATCTGACCCATAAATCAACCCCCTTTTAAAATAAACTACCCAACCCGCTTTCAACAATTTTGTTTAAATTTTTATTTTTTTCGATAAATCCCGAAAATTAGTAATTGATTAATAAAAAATAGGAAAAAATATATAAAATTAACGCTAAAATTTTACAAATAAATATTGTAACCTTAAATTTAACAATTTCAACAATTTTTTTAATTTTTATTTATTTTCGGTAAATCCCGAAAATGAGTAATTGATTAATAAAAAATATGAAAAAAAAAAAAATTAACCCCAAAAAATCACAAACAAATATAGTAACCTTAAATTCAAAAATTTCAACAA